CCTATTTTCTCTCCCTTGTGGCCGTTGCCATACTGGGATGTTGATTTAATTTGTTGGTTTTATTCTTTTAAACTCTGTTAGAGCATTATAGGGTTTCTGTATGTTGTTGATACATGGGTTTGTGAGGTTTATTTGTTTGGATTTTTTTATTACCTCCTGAAAGTAGCCAGGTACAAAAGAATTTCTGTAAGTGTTCAGCTGTGGGAACTAGGAGAATTGTTATTTAATCCCCTCTTTGTCCCTTTCTGACAGACCAGCATAGGGAATCAGATTGTTTTGCAGGTCTTTGAGTGTGTTAAGCCTTTTTTTTTGTGGGCAATTATGACTGATGTTTATCAGCAGTGTGATGCAGCACTGCTGTAAGTGTTATGTTGGCCTTGATGCAATTCTCAGAATAGTTTTGAATTAATTGCTTTGAGCCAAATTAATGTTTGGGGGGCTGTCTCTCTCTCCCCTCAGACACAGGCGCCTGGCTTTGCTGAAGCAAGTGAGTATCAGAGAGAACTGCTGCACACTTTGCTGTGATGAGATAGCAGACACAGAACTCAGGCCGTGTGGACACAGGTAAAACCTTAAAAAACCCAAATCCAAAGAAATAGAAAAATGTGTGTGTGATGTTCAGCTTGGATGAGGCCATGTGCAGTCCCTGCTCATCTGGATTGACTCCCCAGGATAAAGGAAATAACCTTCCTTCCTTTTAAGGATGTGATGTGTAGAGGTTAAACACAATATTCCCACTATTCCACTGATCCTAGACCTGAGTAGATGGAGCCCCTGGTTATGTATTTGGGGAAGTACAGAGGCTACATCTGTGTTCTGCCCTGGGCTACTGAGTCTTATTTCCCTGATGTCAAAGACTTTACTGATTAGTACTTGTTACTGGGGCTGTGAAATCCAGATCATGTGAGGAGAGCAGAAAATTCATAATACAGTCACATACTCATTAAATGTTCAACAAATGGATTGTCTCAAGTCAAAAATTCCTCTAAAAGCTAAAAATGAGCCAGCAGTATGAGCAGCCAGCATAATAGCACTTTCCTGCCTTTAAGCAGCCTGCTGGGAAATGAATCCAGTTAAGTCCAATTCCTTAGAGTTTTAGAGCACTCATGGAAGGAATCTTGCCGTGTGTCTACATGTTGGAAAGTTAAAAAGAGATGTGCCTGGATTGGAGAATTTGCTGCAGGGCACTGGGGCTGCTCTCCAGACCAGAGTGAGTGCAAGGATTAATGAGCTCAGGGAAGTGGGATCCTGAGCAGCTGCAGGTCTGGGAGATGCTGAGCAGCAGGAGCTCCTCTCAAAGCCTCTAAATGGATCCACCACACCTGACTTGCAAGGCCTAATCTCCACACTGAGGGACTTGACTGTGCCTCTGGCAGGCTGACTAAACTGCTTAGTGCTTAGTGTTATTTTGTTGTTGTTGTTGGTTAGTTTTTCATACTGTAAAAGCAGGCTTTAACTGCTTGTGTTATTTGGTTGTTGTTGGTTAGTTTTTCATACTGTAAAAGCAG